ATTCGTCACATGTACTACAGAGCACCACTTGGTTTCCGAACCCCTTGGGGACGAGACCCGTCGGTTAACATGTAAGTTCGTATACGAGAAATAGAGGGGAAAAAATAAACTAGAAATGTAAAAAGAAATTTTTCCCAAAAAATTTACGAAAAAACTCTAGGGGAAAAAATCGACAGGTTCATAGCGTAAATGCGACTGTGTTTTGTTTGTTCTCACCAATAAGTGAAGTCCTGATCCGCTTTATAAAAGTCCTTAATTGTTCCTAACTGATTATTAAGACGTCTGGCAAACATCCTCTGGATGTTTCCTGCCAGCCTGCAGGCACATCCTGCCTAAAATATACGATGATGTACTGTACATTTAAGAAACAAATCTGGGTCACAGGTCTGTGGAGTGTGGTTAGGCTTACGGAGTCAGCCGGTCCCTCCCCCACCACCGATACACCTCCCCCTCTCCCCCCACCCCAAACCCATACACACACACACACACTCAAAGGTCACGTGGTTCATGGTTCACTTCAACACCCATATATCGCTTCCTGCCTGCCTGCCTCCTTCCCAGCCTGCAAGCCTGCCTGCCTGCCTGCCTCCTTCCCAGCCTGCAAGCCTGCCTGCCTGCCTGCCTCCTTCCCAGCCTGCAAGCCTGCCTGCCTGCCTGCCTCCTTCCCAGCCTGCAAGCCTGCCTGCCTGCCTGCCTCCTTCCCAGCCTGCAAGTCTGCCTGCCTGCCTGCCTCCTTCCCAGCCTGCAAGCCTGCCTGCCTGCCTGCCTCCTTCCCAGCCTGCAACCCTGCCTGCCTGCCTGCCTGCCTCCTTCCCAGCCTGCAAGCCTGCCTGCCTCCTTCCCAGCCTGCAAGCTTGCCTGCCTGCCTGCCTCCTTCCCAGCCTGCAAGCCTGCCTGCCTCCTTCCCAGCCTGCAAGCCTGCCTGCCTGCCTGCCTCCTTCCCAGCCTGCAAGCCTGCCTGCCTCCTTCCCAGCCTGCAAGCCTGCCTGCCTCCTTCCCAGCCTGCAAGCCTGCCTGCCTGCCTGCCTCCTTCCCAGCCTGCAAGCCTGCCTGCCTGCCTGCCTCCTTCCCAGCCTGCAAGTCTGCCTGCCTGCCTGCCTCCTTCCCAGCCTGCAAGCCTGCCTGCCTGCCTGCCTCCTTCCCAGCCTGCAAGCCTGCCTGCCTGCCTGCCTGCCTCCTTCCCAGCCTGCAAGCCTGCCTGCCTCCTTCCCAGCCTGCAAGCTTGCCTGCTTCCTGCCTCCTTCCCAGCCTGCAAGCCTGCCTGCCTCCTTCCCAGCCTGCAAGCCTGCCTGCCTCCTTCCCAGCCTGCAAGCCTGCCTGCCTCCTTCCCAGCCTGCAAGCCTGCCTGCCTCCTTCCCAGCCTGCAAGCCTGCCTGCCTCCTTCCCAGCCTGCAAGCCTGCCTGCCTCCTTCCCAGCCTGCAAGCCTGCCTGCCTGCCTGCCTCCTTCCCAGCCTGCAAGCCTGCCTGCCTGCCTGCCTCCTTCCCAGCCTGCCTGCCTGCCTGCCTCCTTCCCAGCCTGCAAGCCTGCCTGCCTCCTTCCCAGCCTGCCTGCCTCCTTCCCAGCCTGCAAGCCTGCCTGCCTGCCTGCCTCCTACCCAGCCTGCAAGCCTGCCTGTCTGCCTGCCTCCTTCCCAGCCTGCAAGCCTGCCTGCCTGCCTGCCTCCTTCCCAGCTTGCAAGCCTGCCTGCCTGCCTCCTTCCCAGCCTGCCTGCCTGCCTGCCTCCTTCCCAGCCTGCCAGCCTGCTTCCTTTCCAGCCAGCCTGCCTCCCTCCCTGCCATCATGCTAACGGGTAGTGTGTGTTAGGCTTATCTTCGGGAATGAGCCGGTCTCGCCCCCACCACCAACAAACCACCCGCCCCCCTACATCCCATCTCTCAAGGTCACGCGGTTCAACCGCGTGACTACCACTCACTCCCTGCTGCGCCTGCCTGCCTGCCTGTGCCTGCCTGCCTGTGCCTGCCTGCCTGTGCCTGCCTGCCTGTGCCTGCCAGCCTGCCTTTCCCTCCCTAATTCTCACTACTTCCATCCCTTCCTGCCTACCTCCTAGCATCTCTCCCTACCTCCCCCTCCCTCTTAGCATCTCTCCCTACCTCCTAACATCTCTCCCTACCTCCCCCTCCCTCCTAGCATCTCTCTCTCCCCCTCTCTCACTGATTCTCCCCCCCCTCATTCATACTGCCTCCCACCTAAACTCCATCGTCCATCCACCCACCAGTCAGCCATCACTGATGCAATGCGTGCATTTGGAGCCAACATGGTGCACAGATGTTTCTTGATTGTGCAGATATGTAAAACAAAAGCACAGAATGAACATTCCAGCCTTATGGCAATTCAAAATAATAGGAATAATAGGCCGTGAATCTGTGAAGTCACAGCGGGCAAACTGGACCATCTCCCACCCACCACAACAAACCGGCGTGACGCTTGGCGGACCCCTTCCTACCCGAACTTTGTTCGGGTAGCATGACTCCCCAACCCCAATCGGGAAACTGGAAGTTTCGGATAACTAAAGTTCGGAAACCAAGTGGTGCTCTGTATCACTGAATAAACTACTAGCGTCTGGGGACATACATGATGGTGGTGATGATAACGGTATTGACCCAGGGCGGCGAGGCAGGCCGGGCGAGGCAGGCCGGGCGAGGCAGGCCGGGCGAGGCAGGCCGGGCGAGGCACGAGTACCACACACACTCGCCACATCTTCCAATTCTGTCTCTTCCTCACTCGTATCAGATCTCTGAGTTAGGTCTTTCTCTGGATCATAGTCCAGGTCATCATGCAGAGCACCGTCATCATACAAAATATCGCGTATTTCCTCCTCAGAGAGTCGTTTTCCATGACCGCGGTCACCGTGGAGCGGGAGCTCGTAGAGGATGCGTCAGACATGGTTGCTGCCGTGAAACTGAGGCTCCCCACGGCCGCAGGGCATGCTGGGATTTTTTTTTAAGATGGCGGACGATCACTGGGGCCCCCACCCACCCATATCATACCCGCGTCACCGCGCGCCAGTTTTGAATGGAACGTGAAAAATCAAAATACCTGGAGGCGCGTTGTGCAAACCAGACGCGAGCCTGCAGGCGCGTTGCGCAGTTTAAGGGTTAAGGGTCCTCTGATAGGTTAGGTGGGCAGGAAATTCTCATAAAGTTTCAAAACGTTATTAAAAATGTTAATTTAAAGTGTCCTCTTGTAACCTCTGCACGTACGCCGGACAACTCAAATAGAAAACGGAACAGAACGTCACTTTTGTGAGTCGATTTCATTTCAAATTACGTCCAAATTTGGCCATAGTGCGCATACGGGCCAAAAGTGACGTTCTTTTTTAAGAGGACGGGTTGTTAACCCTTTATACTGTGCAACGCGCCTGCAGGCTCACGTCTGGCGTGCGCTATGCGCCTCTGGGTATTTGTATTTTTCACGTTCCATTCAAAACTCCCGCGGCTACATGGGGTTTACATCAGCTTCCTCAGGGCTCTTGTAAATAGACGCCATCTTTAAAAAAAATCGTGGTCCACATTCCCGGGTGTGAGAGCCTCAGTACTGAGTGAGCAACCAAGGCCGGTGCACGCAGCATGAGCTAACAGCACTGCTGTTCAGCTTGTGACCACAGTGTTGCCTAATAATGTCAAAATATATTTATAACTTGTATTATTTAGCCATGATAGTATTACAGAAGAGCCCGAGTGTGATAATGACTGTGTACAATGTTCAAATATTAGTGATTCAATGCTGTTCACGATTATCACAGCACCAGCCACAACACCACAGCATTATTTCGTCCATCTAGGAATCTTCAAACGACTTCTTAGGTTCCTTTACAAAATAAATTTGTGGTCAATTATGTATTTACAGGATTTAGTGACCAGTATTGTGATAACAGCAGGACTGTGGTGATAATAAGCACTGTGCATAGTATTGTGGGAGGAGGAATTGTGGTGAGGGAGGGAGGGAGGGAGGGAGGGAGAGAATCGAGGTATCCTCACTGTGTGGCAACCACTCTTGTTTTGCTCATCATACTAGCTTAGTGGTTCACTATGGTGAACACATTTGTACATGGGTATATACAATGTGTGTATATAGTGTAGTAACAGCAACAGGAGTATGTTGGGAGGAGCTATTTTGGTGAGGGAGGTGACGTAATCGTAGCGTCGTCTGCTGGCTGCTGTGTGATTTCTCATCCAGTGTATGGTAGCCACTGTAAAGTTTGGACACAATAATGGCTTACTTGCATAGTTCTGGTGAATAAAACATGTAGATAGGTATACATAACATGTGTAAATAGTGCAATACAAACAAAAACAGTATGGTGGGAGGAGCAATGTTGCGAGTAAGATGTTGGAGGAGTGAGGGAGAGACTGGATGTTGGAGGAGTGAGCGTGCGGCAGCTGACACTCGCGGAGTTCTAAATGTGTTCATGGTGAATGTATATAGTGTGTGGTAGTGTATAGTGTGTAAATAGACTGTATATATACATAAATTAGCATAATACAATGGAAATATGTGTTGGCTATGTGTACACGTGTCATGCACGTAACACATTGTCTTCGGACAGTATGGATGTTCTACTGCCATAATATAGTGTACGTGTTCATTATACATAGGATTGGCACGTAAAAGAATATAAAATGTATTTGGAACTGTGCACAGAAAATTAGCAAAAATATATTCGCGGCAACTCACGCATCCTGCTCCGAGCGCCCTACCGACCCCGGGGGCGTATGCCACGGGCGACCAAGGAGTGATGACGGCACGCACGAACTTACGGACCCTATAGCAGCTAAAGTACTTACAATTTCGACCGTCTGTTACTATACCCTTACTCAGGGAAGGATTTTTTACTTCAAAAACAGAAAAGAATTTTTCCAGAGATTTTATTTCCTGCGCACTGGGGGGTGTCATATTTGGAGGCCGCGCAGTTAAGGGGTTAATAGGGTTAAAATAAATTTCACATTCTGATTGTATCTTGTAATGATGATGTTCTAATACTGTATGTAATTTTAACAGGTTCTTGATCAACTGCTGTTCAAGCGTTTATTGGTTCATGGACATCCTCAGTCTGAGACGTCAGAGAACAGACTTCCTTGGCGCATACTTAGTATCATCACAAAACACAGCTTTCACAAGTTCTTCAACAAAGCTCTTCTTATGTGGTCCAAGTCAGAATATTTGAGGTAAGAGCTTAAGAACACATTTTACCAAAGAGGGTATAGATTAAAATCTTTGATTGCTCATCCATCTTTCACAAAATAATAATAAAAAAGCTCTTTGCAGTAAACCTATTGACCGAAGTGAGTCAGCTTTTATTTATACCCAGGAAACTCATTCATATACAGTATGTCTTATCTTTGGTTAGAACAATCCGTCAATTCCTATATTTATAATGTTACCCAGTAACTTCTTTCTTAACCCCTGGGCAGCGCTGCTATTAATAGCCAACAACACTGCTGTGCACAAAAAAAAAAAAAATCTGTGCGTCTTCGGGGTGTTTTCTGGGGGAAGCCCCGTCGGCTCCCCGGAGCTATCCCAGGCTTATCAAGTCTAGCCAGCCAGTGGTCTACCCTTGTGGTCATGATGTGTGGAAGTATGCAGCTCTTGCTGCCATATTTGGTAATATGTCTTGAATCGATATTTGGGCGCAGGGGTTTTGGGAATCGAACAGGGTCCTGACTGTCAGATATCTTGTTAACGTCTTGAGCCTTCTGTGGCCTTGTGCTGTCTGTCGCAGCCAGTTGTCCCGTCTTCGTCATGAGACCCGTGGTGCCGCCACCGCCGAGAAGCATATTGGCATGTCCTAATTCATCTGGGGTTCAGGAACTGGTTGGGTTTTGTGGTGGGGGTGGCATGCTTTTTGCTTTCGATGCCTTCTGTTTGACCTGAATCTGGCACCCCACATTTTCATGCATCTCACCCGGGTCGTGGTGGCCCGTTTGGGTCTGTTAGGGGGTTTGGGTTGTGGCCTACCTCGACGACTGGCTGGTGTGAACTCCGAACCAGCCCTTTATTGAGGACTCTTGTTGGCATGTGGAAGACAGTGGTGGGGAGGAGGAGAGGTGTTAGTGTTAGGAAAGGGCAATCCCCTTCCAATATAACATCAGGCAGTGATGACTTTTCTGGGGTACTCTCTTTCCAATGTTTTGCAGGCATTCCACTAGGGCCTGATTGTGGCTCACTGCTTGTTCATCTTTTTTAAGAATCTGTCTAAAGATGCTTGTTTTTCCTATGTTTTAACACTTGTCAGTAGTGAGACATCACATACATTCACTATAAATGATCTCTTGTTTTTCCTCTATCATCATCCTCACAACTATTTTCTTAGGTTGGGCTTTACCACAGACTTTCTTGGGGCCCATGGGGTGATATATAATAAGAACTTTTATGTTCAGAAATCCCCAAAACAGAAAAACAATGAAATTCATTAGAGAGAATTCAAGAGTGGTCGCGGTTGTCGCTCTATGGGATACACTTGTAAACAACTGAGAGTGCCTCGCCCCCGTGCTCCCAGCACCACGTGTTTGTTTGACCCATGCATGTATATGTGCATGTATGTACACCCATACATACCATACAGGTGTCATACTACAAGTAAAACATCGTACACCAATTCAAATTTTATGATGAATTTGACATATGCTAAAAAAGTTGTTCTCTAGGGCAGTTGTATATCAAGGTACAGAGCACCACTTGGTTTCTGAACCTCTTGGGGACGAGACCCGTCGGTTAACATGTAAGTTCGTAAACGAGAAATAATGGGAAAAAATAAACTAGAAATGTAAAAAAAAATTACGAAAAAGTTATGAAAAAAAAAACTTTAGGGGAAAAAATCGACAGGTTCATAGCGTAAATGTGACCGTATTTTGTTTCAAAAATGCGTTTGTACTCCCCAATAAGTGAAGTCTTGATCCGCTTTATAAAAGTCCTTAATTGTTCCTAGCTGATTATTAAGACGTCTGGCAAACATCCTCTGGATGTTTCCTGCCAGCCTGCAAGAACATCCTGCCAGCCTGCCTGCCAGCCTGCCTGCCAGCCTGCCTGCCAGCCTGCCTGCCAGCCTGCCAGCCAGCCTGCCTGCCTGCCAGCCTGAATGCCAGCCAGTCTGCCAGCCAGTCTGCCAGCCTGTCTGCCAGCCTGCCTGCCAGCCTGCTTGCCAGCCAGTCTGCCAGCCAGTCTGCCAGAGTCTGCCAGCCAGTCTGCCAGAGTCTGCCAGCCAGTCTGCCAGCCAGCCTGCCTGCCTCACTCTGCCTGGCTCCCTCCCTGCCATACTGGCAACGGGTTGAGTGTGTTAGGCTTAAAATTCGGGAGTGAGCCAGTCTCTCCCCCACCACCCTCACCACCAACAACCCCCCCCCCCTACATCCCATACTCTCTCTTAAAGGTCACGCGGTTCAACCATGTGACTATCTCTGCCTCTCTGCCAGCCTACCTCCCTCTCTGCCTGCCATCCAGCCTGCCTCCCTCTCTGCCTGCCATCCAGCCTACCTCCCTCTCTGCCTGCCATCCAGCCTACCTCCCTCTCTGCCTGCCATCCAGCCTGCCTCCCTCTCTTCCTGCCATCCAGCCTGCCTCCCTCTCTGCCTGCCATTCAGCCTGCCTCCCTCTCTTCCTGCCATCCAGCCTGCCTCCCTCTCTGCCTGCCATCCAGCCTGCCTCCCTCTCTGCCTGCCATCCAGCCTGCCTCCCTCTCTGCCTGCCATCCAGCCTGCCTCCCTCTCTGCCTGCCATCCAGCCTGCCTCCCTCTGCCTGCCATCCAGCCTGCCTCTGCCTGCCATCCAGCCTGCCTCCCTCTGCCTGCCATCCAGCCTGCCTCCCCCTCTGCCTGCCATCCAGCCTGCCTCCCCCTCTGCCTGTCATCCAGCCTGCCTGCCATCCAGCCTGCCTCCCTCTCTGCCTGCCATCCAGCCTTCCTGCCATCCAGCCTGCCTCCCCCTCTGCCTGCCATCCAGCCTGCCTCCCTCTCTGCCTGCCATCCAGCCTTCCTGCCATCCAGCCTGCCTCCCCCTCTGCCTGCCATCCAGCCTACCTCCCTCTCTGCCTGCCATCCAGCCTGCCTCCCTCTGCCTGCCATCCAGCCTGCCTCTGCCTGCCATCCAGCCTCTGCCTGCCATCCAGCCTCTGCCTGCCATCCAACCTCTGCCTGCCATCCAGCCTCTGCCTGCCATCCAGCCTCTGCCTGCCATCCAGTCTGCCTCCCTCTCTGCCTGTCATCCAGCCTTCCTCCCTCTCTGCCTGCCATCCAGCCTGCCTCTGTCTGCCATCCAGCATGCCTCCCTCTTTGCCTGCCATCCAGCCTGCCTCCCTCTCTGCCTGCCATCCAGCCTGCCTCCCTCTCTGCCTGCCATCCAGCCTTCCTGCCATCCAGCCTGCCTCCCCCTCTGCCTGCCATCCAGTCTACCTCCCTCTCTGCCTGCCATCCAGCCTGCCTCCCTCTCTGCCTGCCATCCAACCTGCCTCCCCCTCTGCCTGCCATCCAGCCTGCCTCCCTCTCTGCCTGCCATCCAGCCTGCCTCCCTCTGCCTGCCATCCAGCCTGCCTCTGCCTGCCATCCAGCCTGCCTCCCTCTGCCTGCCATCCAGCCTGCCTCCCTCTCTGCCTGCCATCCAGCCTGCCTCCCTCAGCCTGCCATCCAGCCTGCCTCCCTCTGCCTGCCATCCAGCCTGCCTCTGCCTGCCATCCAGCCTGCCTCCCTCTCTGCCTGCCATCCAGCCTGCCTCCCATTCTGCCTGCCATCCAGCCTGCCTCCCTTTCTGTCTGCCATCCAGCCTGCCTCCCTCTCTGCCTGCCTTCCAGCCTGCCTCCCTCTGCCTGCCATCCAGCCTGCCTCCCTCTCTGCCTGCCGCTCTGCCTGCCTCTCTGTCAGCCAGCCTGCCTGCCTGCCTGCCTGCCTGCCTGCCTGCCAGCCAGCCAGCCAGCCAGCCAGCCAGCCAGCCAGCCAGCCAGCCAGCCAACCTGCCAGCCAACCTGCCAGCCAGCCTGCCTGCCAGCCAGTCAGCCAACCTGCCTGCCTGCCTGCCTGCCTGCCTGCCTGCCCCTCCCTCCCTAATTCTCTTGACTTCCCTCCCTTCCTGCCTACCTCCTAACATCTCTCCCTACCTCCCCCTCCCTCCTTGCATCTCTCCCTCCCTTTCTGACTAATTCTCCCCCTCTCTCATACTGCCTCCCACCTAAGCTCCCTCATCCATCCACCCACCAGTCAGCCATCACTGACGCAATGTGTGCATTTGGAGCCGACATGGTGCACAGATGGTTCTTAATTGTGCAGATAAGTAAAACAAAAGCACAGAATGAACATTCCAGCCTTATGACAATTCAAAATGATAGGAATAATAGGCCGTGAATCTGTGTGTCACAGTGGGCAAACTGGACCATCTCCCACCCACCACCACAGGCCAGGGTGACGCTTGGCGGACCCCTTCCTACCCGAACTTTGTTCGGGTAGCATGACTCCCCAACTCCAATCGGGAAACTGGAAGTTTCGGATAACTAAAGTTCGGAAACCAAGTGGTGCTCTGTACCACCGTAATATTATGGACCATTGAATGGAACTTGAGGGAAATCATTTACAAGTGCCAACTGTAGGCTAACCCAAAGCTATTCTTAGATATTTTAATTGTAATGACTAGGCCAGGGAGTGTACTTATGACGGGTGAAAATTCCATACTGATTCTGGCACATGCACAGATGTTGCATTAAATCCATTATATTGAGATTTGTTAGGGGTACTTGTAATGTGTAAATAAATATAATTATTAATTGGTGTGGTGAGTACTGTATTTAAGTATGATTGTAACCAAACCATTCACAGTAGTATCTTGTTATTAAAATATTTGCAACTCTTGATTCTCTGTACACAGGCCACAGGTAATGAGCATTGCACGAACTCATATTGGGAAGGAAAACAACGAAGAGGTGTGGACGTTGCTGGCACTCATTTCAAATTATGTCACGGTTAAGGATGCCACCTTTGCTGTGGATTACTTTGAAGAACAATGCCAAATCAATTCAGAGGTAAGGAGTCAAGCAGTCTAGTAGTTGCAACCACTGTATGGGCAGATTTGTTCCTGCCTGTTTTGTGCTGCACATATTTTCACTTCCTGTCAACTTAGCTAATCACCTCTCTTTTTAGCATAAAATATATATATTGCTTCCCTGCTCAATAAGGTAGTCATCTGGTTATTTTTCTAACTTTCATCAGTTTCTGTGTAATATCTAAAAATACCTTCATGTCTTACCTAAACTTGAAACATTTATGTATGATGATAAAGAGATTGTATAGGTTACAATTTGGTTAGTACAGTACAGTGAAACCTCGGCTTACGAATTCCCCTATTTACAAATTTTTCTGGTTACGAGCTCAATTTCTTTGTTAACCCTTAAACTGCGCATGGGTATATATACGCCATGAGTAACATGTCCCACGGTGCGCATGGCGTATATATATACGCCATAGGGTGCCAGGCACGATTCAAATGGCCAACGGCTACACAGGGTTCACATCAGCTTCCTCAGGGCTCTTGTAAACAGATGCCATGTTTAAAAAATCGTGGGCAATATTCTCCAGTGTGAGAGCCACAGTACTGTTGGAGCAACCAATGCTGGTGCATGCAGCATGAGCTAACAGCATTGCTGTTCAGCTTGTGACTACAGCATCACCTAAAATGTCAAAATAAATATGTAACTGCTATTATTTAGCGATGACAATATTACAGATGACTCCTGACTGTGATAAAAATGACCAGGATTGTGATAATAGCAGGATTGTTGATAATGCTGTGGGAGGAGTAATGCTGAGGGACGGAGGGAGATAGCATCGTTTACTGACTGTGGTCACCTGTTACTGTCTGCATTCACCATACCAGCTCAGTGGTTCTCTATGGTGAACACAAATGTAGATATTTATATATAATGTGTGTATTAGTGTAATAACAGCAAAATGATCATGTTGGGAGAAGTCATTTGGGTGACGGTGGTGGCGTCGTCTGCATGACTTGTCTAGTTGTGTAGAGGGTGGCCACTATGTACCCTACAAGCTTAGGTGTACAGTTACGGTGCATACAACATGTAGATACTTATATATATTGTGTGTATAGTGTAATAACACCCCAAACAGAATTGTTGGGGGATAAATTTAGTGAGCCTGACTGTGAATAAGTGAGGGAGGCAGCAGTCAGCTGACTGTGAGTGTAGTGATGTCTCTTAGTGCCTCAACTAACTATATTAGCTTAGTTGTACAATTGTGGTGAACAAAACATGTAGATACTGATATATAATGTGTGTAAATAGTGTAATAACTGCAAAACTATTTGCAGGCGATGAGTCACAATGACGTGGCTAAAGTATGTTAACTGCAAAACTATTTGTTTATTGTTTTATGAACGTAATAATTGAACAACTAATATGAACACCATACATTTGTGTATAGTGATGACTCACACATTTTATTATATAAATCTATCACAATACACACTATTGAATAATATTACTGCAAAAAACTAAGAAAAAATCAGACATTGAAATAATTAGGTAATAATATCTTTGTGGCAACTCTCACCTGTCAGCTCGGGTGATGCTGACTGGCTCTGACGACCACTCTGCCAACTCCCACTTTTTGCCAGACTTCCTCGGTCTATTGCGCCCAAAATATGTCGCCTACAATTTTTCTGTATTTTTCCCGTGCTTAACCCTCAAACCGCGCATATCATATATAAATGATATCAGTGACAAAACCGAAACCGCGCACATCATTTATATATGATTTCGTGTCTAGCGCTATAATTTAAACTCCCCGCCTGGGATAGGGGCAGCTATAGTACAGCCACGACCGATAGTTGCCAGATGCCACCTAGAAAAAAAATCCAGGCCAACATTCTTGGGTGTTACAGCGTCAGTATTGAGCAAGCCACCAAGGCTGGCGCACGCAGCACGAGCTCACAGCACCGCTGTTCAGCTTGTGACCACAGCATCGCCTACAAATACCATAATATATATGATACAGCTATTATTTAGCAGTGATAGTATTACTGAAGCCCCCTCACTGTGATAAAACTGACCAGGATTCTGATAATACCAGGATTGTGGTGATATTTAGCGATGTGCTCCATGGAGGGAGGCGTAAGGCTGTGCGAGGGAGGGTTGTGGCGTCGTCTTCTGACTGTGTGTGGCCACCATTTATTGACTGCACTCACCATACCAGCTTAGTGGTTCGATATGGTGAACACAAATGTAGATACTTATATATAACGTGTGTATAGAGTGTGATAACAGCGAGAGGAGTAGGTTGGGAGCCGCCATTTTGGTGAGGGAAGAGCGTCGTCTGCACGTCTTGGCATGGTGTTTACTGATGGCCACTATGGTCTTTGGGCACCATACCAGCTTATTTGTTCAGGTATAGTGAATAAAACAGGTAGATACTTATATATAATATGTGTATATAGCGTAATAACACCACAAACAATATTGTTGAAGGACAAATATTAGTGCGTCTGGCCTTGAGGGCGGCCGCCGATCAGCTGACTGTGTGAGTAGCTACGTCTTTGTGGCCTTTACTCACCATACAAGCTTAGATGTACAGTTATGGTGAACAAAACATGTAAATACGTATATATAACGTCTGTGTATAGTGAATAAATACAGAAAGAGTATTGTAGGAGGTGAGTGAGGAGGTGTTGAGGGAGGGAGTGGCAGTGAGTGGCTCGCTGGTGTTTGGCGGTCACTCCTCGTTGCTTTTTGACTCACAAGACCAACTTAGTAGTTCGTTATGGTGTACAAAACATGCAAATACTTATATATAACCTGTGTATATAGTGTAACAACAGCAAAACTATTTGTTTATTGTTTTATGAACATAATAATTGAATCACTAATATGCACACCATAATTTTGAGTACAGCGATGGTTCACACATTTTATAATATAAATATACCACAATTCACTGTATGGAATAATATTACTGCAAAAAAACTAAGAAAAAATCAATCAGAGACATTGAAATAATTAGGTAATAATATATTTGTGGCAACTGCTGTCTGACAGCTCGGGCGGAGAAGACCTCGTCTGGCGAAGGCTCTGCCAACGCCCCTTTTTTGCCACACTTCCCTACCCTATTGCGGCTAAAATATGCCACCTACGATTTTTTTGTTATTTTTTCCGTGATCAGGGAACAAAAATTAACACTTCTATAAGACGAAAGAATTTTTTGGATTTTTTTTTTGTTGCGCCTGTGGGTGTGAATTCCATTTGGGCCCCTAGCGGTTTGAGGGTTAAGGAACACAAATTAAAATTTTTAGAAGACGAAAATTTTTGTTAGAATTTTTTTTACTTGTGCACAGGGGTGTAAATCTCCTCAGGACCCCTTAGCAGCTTTTTGGTTAAATTTGATTTGGTATAGGAGCTTTGCCTCGAGTTGCAAATTTGTTGATATACGTATGGGTCGACCGAGCATGTGGTTCCTGGTGGAACATGTGACTGCGCCTCAGTTTAACAGTGCTTCTCACGTAGTGACGATCGCGCTTGAATTCTTTGTAAAGAATTTCATTGTTTTTCAGCTTGTCTGGGAAAAGCCCCCTTCGGCTCCCCGGAGCTAACCAGGCTGATACGAATGTATTAGACCCTGGCATCAGTGGAGTTCCATGCGCATGGAGTTCTAGGTATACCGGGTGACCACAAGACAAAACATGTCCCCCTCAGAGAGGCACGAGGGGCAATGGCCTACAGAAACCCCCATGTGGTTGGGAGCTTTCTATGTCTGCCATCAACCAGGTCAGGCACCCAGAAAGGTAAGCACCCAAAAACAACCCCCCCCCCCCCTATTCTGGTTAAAATATTGCTACTGAAAGCCGAACTAGTGGACAGAACTCATCAAATGAAAATGAGCAAACGAGCATGATGTCACCACATCACCACATCTCTGTCTGCGCAACCCTTCCCCCAGGAGGGGGAAGGGTTGCCCCCCAGACCCCTGCGCCGGCTATCCACTCTGCAGTTCTGTGGCTTCTGTGAATTGGCTAGATCGCACACCTCTGGCTCCTGCTTTTCCGGTTCTGCACCTTGTGGTATGGTGCTGTCTTATGGTGTTGCACGAGCCAGAAGTTTTTTCCCAAGTACTGCATGAGACTAGGGTCCCCTTACCTAGGTGCCCTGAAAGTACTGCCCTTGGGTCTTGGGGCCACCTTCCACAAATCACCTTGGGGTCTACCTCCGCAAGGTGTTTTGCTGCTCGGTGATTGACCGCACTTGGAGTCAGCTGTGGTGTTTCATGCACCACTGTTTGCCTCTGGGTAGGGGAAAATTTTGTCACTGGTTGGGGGTGCAGAGCACTGTACGGCTAGTTTTCACCTCTCATAGCAGCTGGCTCTGTTCTGCCTGGGCCTGTTGTCCTCTTGCAGGATTTTTCTTTTGTTTTTGTTTCCCTGCCTGGTGGGGGGTCTGCTCCTTGGTTTTGGTCACACCCATTTATATCTTGGTGGTCCTCCACTAGAACCCTGTGAGTGAACACGTCCCGGGGGTTCAGCTTTAGCAGTTTGCTTGGTAACTTTGGGCGCCAGTTAGCAGTATCCTGCCTGGGGTTCTCTTAGCGAGATTACATGACTAAGGGCCCCTGGAAAACCCCGCTGGGGCTCTTTGGTTCGATGGATGCGACCCCTGGGTATCCTCTTGCTTCATGCGAGTTTGAAGGTTTCTTTTGTCCCCTTGTCTCAGGGTGACAGTCACCATTTGTGCCTCCGTCATGCTGTCTGTTGGGCCGGTGACACCTTCAACCCGGATTCCTGCGAGTCTTGTTCCTTGTTTGTACTCAAATACACGCAGTCCACTAATCATGATATTTAGGTGCAGGCAGCTTCAGCGTTGCATGCTCGGTTTAGGTTGCTGCAACGTGGATGCCCTGTTTTGGTTATAGGGACCCAGACTTAGGGGTGTTTGTCTCTCTGACTTTGGTTTAGTCCACGCCCCCTAGTATTTCCTCTTCTGTTGTTCGTCCCGGTCAACCCTCCCCTCCCCCTTGCTTCTGG